TACCTGTAGCTGTTCCCATAGTCTGTGCCGTCCACCCACTTCCAGGAGCCATCGCTCTCAGCGAGTCCTATCCAGGTGTGAAAGGGGCTCGAGTGCTGTGCAATGAATCTCTGGAAAACAGGTGGAATGGAGTGTCTAGTCCCCTGTGCTCCGTGCAGGCATTAGCTGTGGGCCCTCAGCCTGCCCAGTCTGATCTGCCCCAAGGTGAAGCATCAGCCCCCAGCAAAACGAGGTCCATCTTTTTCCTTTGTCACCTTAGCTATTGTTCCGAGATAATTTACTGGGCGGAAGCCCATGCTGCGTGCTTCATGGGTATTATTTTATCTAACCCTCAGAAGCCCTCTAATGCTTCTGATTTAAGGAACTTGCAGGCGTTGGTAGAGCCCCCTAAGTCAATGCAGTGCTAAGTTTGTGACACCCCCACTTCATTCTCAACCCCTGGCTGCTACCTGGACTTAGTCCTCTCGGGATCCTGACTCTGGCCCCTGTGCCTGCTGCCCCCACGGAGCTGTCAGTGTCACTGCCCCTCAGGGGCTTCTGCCCTGCTCCTGCTTCTGTGTAGCTTCATCTCCAGAGGCTCACCGGGTCCTGGGGCTTCCATTTGGACCCACTTCCCAGAGCCCCAGGATGCCTTAGCTACAAGGGGACTGGCTGTCGGTGCTGAAAATAGGAGGCTGCCCTGGTATGAGGGAGAGTGTGGAGAAAGCAGATGGATGGTTGACCAACATACACACCCCACAGTTAGTTCCCTTTGGCAGCGTGTAAAGGGTCTCCAACTGCAGCTGGGGGGAAGTTCCTAACTCCACTCTCACCTCCTGGAGACACAACTAAGATGACAGTCAGTCACCTCCTCAGAGGGCAGACACAGGAGCATCCTGGAATCCTAGAATCCTGCACATAGGACACTGTCCTGTGCAGGATGGAGTGTCCTGAGAGGCTGCTGGGGCTGTTCCCCAAATTCCGAGGAGTCAGCAGAGGTGGAGGGAAAGTGCCTGGAGACAAGACCTTCTAGTTGCTGCTGCCTGCTGGCCTAGTCCCCGCTTCCCATCACTCCCAGAAGCTGAAGAACGGAACTAAGAGTGCAAATCATCAAAACCCAGGCCTCTGTGTCAAAGACTGATGGGAGGAATCAAATAGTGCCAGGTGATCAGAGAAGATAGTCCAGGAGAATTCACCTCCCAGTTCATGGTAAATAACAGGCAAGAAAGAACGGTGCCCATCCGTAAAAGTGGCAGAGGTGAAAATGATCATGGAACTTATGCAAAAATAAAGAGGGGGAAGAGGAGGAGGAAAAAAGAACGGTGATATCAAAAAGAGAGGTGAAAACTATACTTTGAATGAAAGGCATGTTTTAGGACGGAGGGCGATGTTGGAGAGCAACTCCTTTACAGCCTCAAAAAAAATTAAAGAGGAGATGACTGCCATAAAATATCAAGGAGGACATTTAAAAAGAAAGATCACACAATAGAATAAGCAAAGAGAATAAATGCAAGAGAAAATTTTAGATTTATAAAACAACCCAGGAACCAGCAGGAAACCAAGTCCAAGACATGAAAGACGGGCCTGAGAAAGGGACCCAGATGCAGAGGAAGAGCAAGATTGAAAGAACGGCAGCAAGATGGGGGCCGTGGAGGCGGACAATGGGCATCCTTTTGGGTGACGTGTTCCCGAGAAAAAGAGAACAAATGGAGAAGGAAAACAATGTTCACATACGTGACTCAAGAAAATCTTCTCAAAAGTGAGAAAACCTAAGTTTACACATTAAAAGGACTCTCCTGGCCTCAGAGCAAAAGTATAGAATGAGCAACCAACTTATATATCTGGATGAGATTTACAAAATTTAAAGATAGAAAACAGTCCAACTCTTCAGGCAGAACACTTAAGGAATCGAGGAGAGAAAAGAATGAGCATTATAAACGTCCAAGTAGCTAAGAGGCTAGGTCTTCACTGTTCTCAACACAGAAAAGAAATGATAATTATGTGACAAGAGAAAGGTGATAGCTAACTCTACTGTAGTCATCATATCGCGATATGTAAACGTTCCAGACCAACATGTGTAACCTCAAATTTATACAATGTTATATGTCGGTTAAATCTCAATTTTAAAAGGAAAGAATGAGGTGTGTGAATAAGTGTGCTGGTTTTCTCATCTTTCATATGGAAAGTTACATAAACTCCTTGTTTCTTTTGAAGCCAATCATTTTCAGCCCGTCATTGAAAGTTATAAAAGGAATCACTCATATAACTAAGAATAAGCTACATCTAGTTCAAAATACCACGGGGGAAGAAGACAAAAAGAACACATCTCACACAACAAATGTAAACAGAAAAACCACAGATTAAGATTAAGCATAGCCATTAGAAATTAATGAGATACACACCTGTTAAAAGACTCATTCAATTTAAAAAAATAAATAAATAAAACAAAACTTAAGCACAACCTATAGGAAAAATACCTTAAAGTTGGCTGCACAGAGGCATCAGTTGGGGTAACTTTTAAAAATCTGAATGCTCCAGAGGAACCCAAGGTTAATGAAATCAGAATCTTTAAACTCGTCAAGTATAAAGGCTTGTAATACAGAGCCAAGGCTGAGAAGCCTTAATCCCAAACAGAGCATTATAAGCGTCCTGAGAGGCTGCTGGGTCTGTTCCCCAAATTCCGAGTCAGCAGAGGTGGAGGGAAAGTGCCTGGAGACAAGACCTTCTAGTTGCTGCTGCCTGCTGGCCTAGTCCCCTCTTCCCATCACTCCCAGAAGCTGAATAACGGAACTAAGAGCCAAATCATCCAAAACCCAGCCTCTGTGTCAAAGGCTGATGGGAGGGAATCAAATAGTGCCAGCTGATCAGAGAAACAGTCCAGGAGAATTCACCTCCCAGTTCATGGTAAATAACAGGTTGGAAATGAAAAGATGGGCAGAGATACATTCAGCCAATGCGAGGGAACAGAGATCAAGGTCCGTTCTATTTGTGTTGCATAAAGATGAATTCAAGGCAAAAGCATTAAAGCCGACACTGACATTCACTTCAGAATAATGAAGGGACAGGTCCGCCATGAAGTTGGGCGCCAGCTCACAGAGCACTGACATCTGGGGTTGGCCCACATGGAACTGACATTTGTGTAGGTCCAAATGGATAGAAACAGGCTGTTTCAACCTGGTTGGTAAAGCCAAATGTGCTCGTAATTATTCAGGCAACATGTGGTAGTGAAAACACTGGCGGAGGAGGCAGAGTGGCTCTGAATTCGGGCTCCATCCCGACTTGCTAGCTGCCTGGCAAGTCCCTTAGCTCCCCTGTTCCTCAGTTCCCTCCTTTCTCCCTTCCTCCGAGTGGGGATGGTAAGAGTACCTACCTTATAGGGTTGTGAGGATTAAGGGAGTGAATATATCTGACAGTGCCTGTCACATAGTAAGGACTCGGTAAATGTTACCATGAATATCGTGTGTGTGTGTGTGTGTGTTTTAAAGCCCCACCTATTCTAACAGGTTGGCTCTTCCCTGTGAACGTTGGTGTTTGGGGTTGTGGTGTGGAGGTGGCAGTGGGCAGGTGAGACCTGGAGGGCCTTGGAGGGACCCAGTAACCCCATGTCCCTGGGAATCCTGCCCTCTCTGCTCCTTTCACCCAACTGCCCGCCACATCCCAGGCCGGCACACAGCGAGAAGGACTCTCAGTGCCCCTGCGCTCTGCACCCGAGTCCTGCCTTTAGTTAGTTCATCTTTGTGTTCTGTCTCCTGACCTGGCCCTCACCCCCTGCTCACCTGGCTCCTGCCCCTTTGCCCGAGCTCCTGGCTGTAACCTTCCACCTCTTAGATCAGTGGCTGCTCCACTATGAACCGCCCAGTGTTCTGCCAGCCTGCTGCTTCTGGACTCTTCCCCAGGTTAAAAAATAATAAAGTACCCTATCCAGCTGCCCAGGGTTTGCATTCCAGAGGCGCCTCCTGCTGGGGAGGTGCGGCCTCACCTGCTCCTCTCTGGAGTTGATGACAACCAGGTGGGCGTTCTCCAGCTGGCAGTACTTCTCAGCCTGGGGCCAGGTCAATCCAGAGCGAGAAAACCAGTAGCAGCTGCCTTCATACTCCAGCCAGCCAATGGGGCAGCAGGTATTTTGAGAGCCTGAGGTGGGCGTGGGGAGGTTATGAGATGCTGCCCAGTGACACATGGGCAGGATATGGGGCTAGGCGCTGCCCTACACCACTCACCATTGTAGGTCGTTGACCAGTTGCTGGACTTGCAGGAGCATTTCAGAATAATCTGGGACACACAGAGGGCAGTGGGGACAATGCAGGGGGCCCAGCTGAGGGCCCTCCATGCTCTCCCACCACATCAGGCCCAGGGGCAGGGGAGAAGGGGCCTGACCTGCTTTGAGTTCCTGCTGCTCTTTCTCCAGCTTGCTCTCCAGAGAAAACACCTTGTCATTCAGGCTACGGGCTGGAGGGGAGGGCACTCAGCACCCCAGGCTGCTCCCACCCCACCTCTGTCCTGAGAGCCCGGCCCCCACCCTTGCACACTCACTCCTGGAGGGCCTCTCACCTGCTTGCAGTTCCTGCTCCTGGTTTTCCACCACAGCTTTCAGAGATGTTATTGTTGCTTGCAAACTGCCACCTGGAGGACATGGGGACTCAGTGCTCAGGATTCAGCACCCCCTCCCCCACCACGACCCCTCCCATCCAGAGCCCCTTCCAGCCAGGCTCACCCTGGGAGTGCAGTGCCTGGACCTCAGCCATTGTGTTGGAAGTGAAGTTGCTGAAAGTTGCTCTCAGGGTCTCCACATCACTTTGAATCTTGGCATCTGATCAGGCAGGTGGGACAATGAGAGCTAAGATTGCTCAGTCCTCTCTGTGCTGACACTCAGCAGGGCACTTGACATACATTGGCTCATTGGGTCCTCACAGCCACCCCACTTCAAGGGACAGGCACTGTTGTTATCCAAGCTTGCAGAGAGGATACTCAGGCTTCCAGAGGTTAGGCACTTGGACTACATTACCCATGAGTAAGCAACAGAGCCAGCAGCCGCCTTTACCCACCATGATCATCATCAGTGCCTGGGTTACTGTACCCACTATCGCCCCCTTCCCTGCCCATCCTGGGACACTCACTTTTGGATCCAATTATGCAGATATCGACCAGCAGGAAGAGGCTGAGGCCCAGGAAGAGCAGGAGGAGGCAGGGTACAGAGCAGAGACGCTTGAGGAAGGCTTGGGGAGGACATGGCCCTGTAAGAGGAGAGGACAACAGGAGCTGGAGGTCCAGGACAGGAGAGACACAGGGGAGGAGGACAGGGCCACAGGGGTATGTCAGGGATGGAGGCTGATGCAAGTAAAGCTGAGGGGAGGCGTGTGGTTCAGGGGATTTCCAGGCCTCTGACCCCTCATGAACCAGTGTAAGTCCTAGTCACATGGGCCCCCACCCCTCCGGCAACACATGATGGCAATATGTGGGAGAGGGGGCAGGAGGACACAGAGTGAGTTGGGGCAACCAGCCCCTCAGCAGGCTCGTGCTTGTCTGTATTGTCAGGTTAGCACATGCTTTCCTTTCCAAATACGACTGTTCCTTCTCCCCCAGTGCAAACGCTCATGCCCTCCCTGAGAGTATCGGCCACCAGGCTGCTGTCTTCCTCTCTGACCCTGTCTTTCTGGGGACCTTGAATCCTCTTCATACTGGAGCCCCCAGGGTGTGGGGTCTGACCCCCTCAGAATGGGGGACCCCAGCAGTGCACATGGTAGAGATGCAGATACGCTGTGACTGCAGAAATCCTTCTAAGCACATTAAGAGGGTATTTTAGGAGATACCCGTTCTCCTTTCTTCTTACCCTTTCTTAACTCCTGGCTTTTCTTCTCACTCTCCAAGGACTGGAGGTCTTCATAGTTCATCGACATCCTTGGACCCACTCTGAGGCTGTCAGAGCTGAAATGGAGGCAGGGCCAGTGACCAGCTAGGCTGGGGAGAGGAGACAGGGGAGGCTGGGACTAGGTTGGAGCTGAAGGCAGGCTGGAGTTGAGGTAAGAGAAGAAGTTCAGGTTGAGGATGAGTCAGGGGTTAGGGATAGGAATGGGCCTGGGTTTGCAGCAGAGGTTGGAGGTAAGGTCAGGATTGGTCTTTGGGCTGGGATTGGGTTGAATGTGGGATTGAAGGTAAAGGTAAAGTTGGAGCTAAAGGAATTACTAGGACTGAGTCTTACATTAGGGCTGCAATTAAGGTTGCATCTCCTCCTAGGACCGGGGTCAATACTCATGTTGATGCCATGGATGGCGTGGGGCCTAAGCTTGGCCCTGAAGTTGGAAACAGAAGAGAGTGAAGCTCAACTTTGGGTTGGGGCGGATGTTAAGATTCATGTGGACTTTGGCGCTCAGACTGTGGTTATGGGAGGAATTGGTGTTTGTAATGGGGTTAGGGCTGGGGCTAGGCTGGGGCTGAAGATGGGGCTGGAAATGGGCTGCAGATGGGGCTCAGTGTGAGTCTCAGTTTGTGACTGAGGTTTGGCTGCCAAAGTTCAATCTGAATCCAGTTAGTGAATAGAGTCTAAAGTCTCCATCAGGTCATTGAATCTCTAAGCTGCCTTTTTATATCTCTTCCTATTCAGTCCCAGTTGAGACCCACAGCCAGTCTCCCTGCTTTCTCTAACCCCCTCCCTGTCCCCTTGGTCTCACCTGCATCCCCAGCCCAGGTTACCTATGCAAAGTCTGGAGGCTGTGATTCTTGGGTTTGCTGTGCAGCAGTGAGTAGAGTTGAATAAATTGAAATCCTGGAGAGTGGGGTAGAGGTGCCTGAGGAGGAGTCAGGTCAGTGACTGGAGTCCTGCTGGTCTCTGTGTCTGAAAGCCCAGGAGTCAAAATCTTGGAACCCCCGTTTCCTCCGCTTTGGGCAGCAAATAATCGGATCACAAGCTGAGTCTGCGTGTTTGGCATGTGAGATATGAAGCCAGCTTTGCTCTCCTCCTCAGGGTGTGTCTCCTCCCTTTCCGCTTCTTTTCAGTTTTTCTGACTTCTTCATTTCTGGTATTTGGGAGATGAGTCCTCTGACACACTCCCTTCACTTCCTGCATCTAATTTCCTGGAGTTGTTGGTGTCTCCATCATGGCATACCCAGGCCTGCCCTTGTTCAGTTGTGGCCTAAGTTGCTGGTATCTGACCTTTCTCTGGGACCTCAGCTACCAAGCTCCCCCAGCTCTCACCTAGCTCTCTTCACTCCACTCAGTTGGAGGGAAGAAAGTGAAGAAGAGCAGGATTCCTGGCCAGAGTGGGAGCGGAGGAGCTGAGGAAAGGAACAAACTTCATTGATCATCAAATTTCTGACAGGGATTGTGCCAGACACTTACTGAAAGTTCACCATTTAGTTCCTACCAGAATCATGGGAGGCACGCTGGATGATTAGTATTATTGAAAAAGTAAATTTGACCTTGTGGACCCCTGACAAGGTCTCAGGGACCTTAAGGAGTTCATGGTCCACACATTGAGAGCCTCGGTGTAAAGTAAGTAATATTTTATAATGACCTTTTATTCAGCCATATTGACAAGTTATTTTTTGTTAATTCTAGAAGTTTTTAAAAAATACCAGCTTCTTGCATCTGAAGGTGTCAATGATTAGAGAAAATTATGTCAAAACATTTTATTTTTATTTTCCTGCATGTATTATATTGTCTTACTTATACATTATATTTTGAAAGTCAGTTGAAATGGATTTAACTCATTAATGAGGGAGTCAACAGCATGGTCCCACGCTGGCTCTTGTATGCATTTGTTATCCAAAGTGATACCAGACTCTCTTCTGAAAAAGGACTTTGGTTCAAACTGCTCTTGACTGCTCTTGGGCGATCATGTAAAGTTTTCCAAGTTACCTCTGGAAACCAAGACTCTTAGGTAAGGAGGGGATGAGATGGAGAAAAGAATGGGGTGACACTATACTAGTGTGAACTGTTCTTAGAGTCCTATATTAGGACTTTTTGATTATAAACTGCAGGAGGTCTCTGGATTTAAGTGATGCAACAAGGCCATTCCTTAGACAAGGGTGTCTCACATGGCCCGTTTTGGGTTGAACTGTGTCCTCTAAAAAACATGAAGTCCTTAACCCTAGTACCTGTGAATGTCACTTCTGGAAACAGGGTCGTTGCAGATGTAATTAGTTGAGGTCAGACTAGAGTAGGGTGGGTCTTTACGCCAATATGACTGGGGTCCACATGAGAGGAGACACAGACACCCAAGGGAACAAGCCATGTGACCACGGAGGCAGACTGCAGCACTGCGGCTGCAAACCAAAGAATGTCAAGGGTCGCCCGAGCACCACTGGAAGCTAGGAAGGCGCAAAGAGGGGCTCTGCCCTGCAGGTTTCACAGGGAGCATAGCTTCTTGATTTCAGACTTCCAGCTTCCAGAAGTGTGAGACCATGCTTTTCAGTTGCTTTTGTGGTCTTTGAAAGATCAGACAGAGGCCGAAAACCAGGAGTACAGGCTTTATTAGGGGAGAAGGACCTGCCGGGCTGTCTCGCAAGGGGAGGACAGCAGCACGTGCAGGGGTGGGCACGCCTTTTGAGGGGCGGAATGGGAAGGGGTGGGGGCTCAGTGTACTCGGAGCACACTGATTGGTGGCTTACTGCATTGTCCATATAGGACAAGGGCTTAGGGTATTTGGCAGGTGTGGATTGGTGGTCCAATGCATAGTCCATATAAGGTAACTGGTTAGTCACTCAGGTATTTCCGGGCTGCAGGTTACGTCATACTCCACCTACCAGTTGGGGGAAGGGAGGATCTATCAGTCTTCTGTTAAGGCAGCCCTGTTAAACCAATATGTGACTCAAGGGCAGGGAAGTGGCTGAAGCCCTGAGACAGACTGAAAAGGGGGAGCTGGACACCTGAGGGTCACCATCTGCTTTATTCCTCTTTCTCACTGCAGATCATCATTTTCTCCTCTGGCCAACACTCTCCATGGTCATTTTTGGACTGGAACCCGGATTCTTTGTCCGAATGAATCCACGGACAGAAAGTGATATAACAAAGATGGAGATTTATTGAAGAACAAGTACAGACTCTCACATAGGGAAGGAGAATAGTCCCACTGGGTTCCTTTCCCTATGGCTTATAAAGGCTGCAGATTCTGATGCCTGAAATCCCCTCTGATTGGTCAATATTCCACTTCGAGCTGGGTTCAAAGGTTGAACCTCACATGAGACATGTGAAGTTCACCCCCTCCTTCCCTCTGGGCTTTCTTCTTTTCCAATCTCACATGAGACATGTGAGGTTCTCCCCCCTCCTTCCCTCTGGGCTTTCTTCTTTTCCAACTGAATGAAGGGCTTCCTTCTCTTTGTTTTGTAAATATAGACCTTTCCTGGCTACTTCCAGTTCCCTTGTCTTATGTAAATGCAACTGTTGTTGCTCCCTTGTCTTATGGAGCTGTAACTGCACCTGGCTTCCTTGTGTTATGGAAATGTACCTTCTCCCAGTCTGCAGCCCCAAACTTTTCCATGGACCCCAATTCTAAAAAATCCCTAAGCCTGCCTATGTTCCCCCGAAATTCCTGCTTCAATTTCCACTTCCTTCCTATGCAGGTCTGAGCCACCAACCAGTCCAGAGTGGTCCCTTCTCCCCTTACGACCAAGAGCTAAATTATGATTGGTTTAAACCTAATGGAGAACACCCTCTCTCTTTTATGGGTATTGGTTTAAGAGAAGACATGTGACTTGGTTTTGGCCCAGGACACTTGAGGATCTGGAAACCTGCTGAGGCTTCTGGCAGGTTTTCCTCCCGGATGAAAAAAGAATGCTATCTAAAGGAGGAACCCTGCTTGTTGCCTTCTTGCTGTGGATGTGTCCTTGTTGATGACACGATGTTTGGAGCGGTGGAAACGGACCCATGTCTATGAAGGGAAAGTCAAGAGTATGGAGTCCATTAACTACTGTGGCAGTGTGAAGGCACTGTGACCCTTTGGGGGAAGGCAGAGAGCTGGGTGTTTAGAGGACCCAATACTGGCTTAATGCTGTACTGTGAGTACAGTGCTCTGCACATCCTGCCTCTCATCTGGAATGAAAATATTCACTTCTCTTAGAGTTAATCTACTTGTAATTTGGGGGTGAGGGGGAGGACAAGAATCTGAACAGAATCTGAAGAAAATGTATGAATCATTGGCTACAAAGGAAGACAAATGCCTCCAGTTGTGCCCCCAGAATTATTAGGATTTGAAATGTCAGAATGAGTCACAGCTGGTCATGTTTTATAAGTAGAAAAACAACTCCATTGTATATTATTATTCAAGTGGTGCATGATTACTTCATGGGGGCAGATGGGAACAGTCTATTGCCATTTAAGAGAATGGTTTCAGAATGAGAAAAGAAAGCCATTAAGGAAATCACCATAAGCAGTGCACAAGCCTCCTGACTCCATCAGTTTTCCATGGGTTGACTGAGAATAAGGGGCAAGACACTATCCCTTCTGTACACAGAGGCATAGGCACTGCTGCCTGCAATTAGCCCATTCAGAAATTAACACCTAAACTCTCCAGTGTTATACCTTGGCCATGTTGAACTGCAGCTAGGAATGGAGTGGTTCTGTCCTAGTGTTGTAATGTACCCCGCGAATCACAGAAGGACGCCTCAAGAAGTCGAATTATAGAGTCACATTTATTGCAATCCGGGACTATGAGGGGCCATTTTGCTTTAAATCTCATA